CTCTCTCTCTCTCTCTCTCTCTCTCTCTCTCTCTCTCTCTCTCTCTCTCTCTCCCACCCCTCCAACACGCGGCACGCTGCGTCCAGTTCAATTATCGTTCGCCTCTACAATACATCGCACCCTCTGCCTGATTGGCTATGGCCGACAGTTCGGAGGCCAAAACTTCTCGATCGGGGAGAGGAGGTCGGGGGTAAGGGGAGGACTTCACTTCGGAAGAAGAAGCCGGGGGCGAGACCGGAAAAGGCGGGTAACATGGGATACCGAGCGGGCAAAGCGACAGGCGACCGGCAACGAACGCATCACCCCACCCCACGTGACAACGTAGCTGATTGCACTTGAGCAACTGGCGCTCTGTGGACAGCCCCAGGAACCTGCGTGGAGTGCCCGAGTAAAGTCGAGCTCGCCCGCCACGAACGAAATGCGCGCGCGTGAAGTCAGGCACAGGGGGTCTACAAAGACCTCCCCGCCGACCGCGACTTCCAAGGAACGTCCCGCCGTCCGTACCGCGCGGCAATCGACCCCCGCGATTGGCGGGATCCCGCGTTTTCGCCCACTACCGCTCCGCCAGCAGCACAACGAAGGCGGAATTACGAGGAAAACGCACACGAGCGAGCGGGAGAACCAAGGAAATATGCTCACCAACTACAACTACAGAAATAACAGGAACGACCCATCTGATCGTACGATAGGAAGATCGATGACCAGGGGCAAGGTCCCATTTACACGAATTATTAAGCGATATTGACCGTAGATAGTAAATATCAACGGCCAGATCTCTTAATCCGTGCAAGTGGGACCGTGCCCCAGGACGCAGTGGTTCTGCCCTCCCAGAAGCGTCACCTCCTCATCGTCCATGCGTACGGACGAGCGATTGATGGCTGCGACTCTTCAGAGTGATAGATGGTAATACCGGGCAGCTAATCCTAGCTACCGGTCGCTCCGCCCGCCGTCCATGCATCCCTGAGACCATTCCATTCCAGTTATTCTACAGATACCGACCTCGTCTCCAACTACCACTCTCCACCGTCCTGATGTACTGGACTTCCCTGGCAGCAAATGCCGAACTGGACGGGCGTTTTCTTTTGGGGGGGGGGGGGTTTTTTTYTTGGGGGGGGGGAATAACTGTAGGGTAACAGATAGGTCCACGGCTGCCTGGCCGTCAGTCCTGACAGCGGACGATGATCTTGCACAAGAACTCTCATCAGCGAATCGACCTGATAACCTTCTGAGCGTTCGAAAGTAATATCGGTCTGTATACGGACGTCATTGTCGACAGATACCTCTAAGCGAGACCCGTTGTGAGTCCAGGAATAGCCATGACCCAAGCGGGTCCTTGTCACAGCCTACCTTTGATAGCACAGGATGCCTTGATATTTCAGTTGTATTCCCGGAATAGACCACAGCCTATAGGTAGGCAGATTTGCCCGAGAAAGAGCCTAGATTGGTCCAGCGAGCGCACCCACCCGTGCTGTGCGGGAGGCCGCATCTGCCGTCTCCACTGGCTTTTTTCTTTTTCTTTTTCCTTACTCAAAATTCATATTTCATTTCAAAACTGAATGAGAGGCGGGGGTCCTCAACATCACACCCGATAAAGGGCCTCGCTGCGCTACTCTTGAAATGCACAAAAGACAAAAATCATGTTGCTGTATCTTTCCATGTTCTAGCGGAAGATTCGCTCTCGCTTTGCACCTTTCAAGAGTAGTGCAGCGAGGCCGAAATACTGGCAGCGTCATCCACCAGAGCTTACAGGCAAACTGCATGCGAGACTTCCGACAAGCAAACTGCGGAGACTGTTGGAGGTCCAATCCTTGGTAGACTGGGACTGGATTGTCGATGCCCCCAAAATAATCCAGTCTTCGTCCCAATTGAAACCACTTCTGCAGATCTTCGACCAGTGGCTGCACTACCAGTTTCAAATCCTTCTAGAGAGAGGGCATGCCAGCCACAAGTGTGTCTTTGATTCAAAAGGTTATTCACACCAGGTCAAGTCCACCTCCATGCATCTACTCTTAACCACCAGTACTTCTGAGACACATTCCTCTGACCTTACGGACACACTATGAATCGAAAAACAGACCATTGCCGGCCTTTGATGAATTTTATCGACGGTTTTGAAGGTCCTATAATTTAAACCACCAGTACCTCACTCAGCTATAGAGTCCGAAGCTCGGACTACCGGTAGCCCGATGATTCCCGAGCCTCGGACTTTATGGCCGAGCCTCGGACAACCCGTAGGACTTCACAGAAACAAAAAAAAACAAAAAAAAACAAAAACGTTACATTCAACGTTTAGCAAAAAAAAAAATTCCCACTTGCGAAGTTAAAAAAAAAAAAAAAAAAAAAATCCTACTTGCAGTGTCGTACCAAATACCCTTACAAGGGTATTTGGCGTGCTTTTTGTAAGTCACGTCAGTAAAGCCTCGTCCGAAGTTGACAGCGCACTCGCGGGTGAGAGTTGAGTCCTTGCCCGGTAAGCAACGCGCGCGCGGTATCGACAGCAAGGTGCAACCATGCATGACCTGGGTGTGCGCAGCGTCACAAGCCAGCGGGACGCGCAGCCCCTCGCCCCGTTACTTTTTTTTGTTTCCTCGCATTTATTATTATTTTTATTTATTTTATTATTTATTTATTACTACTTTATATTTTACGGTTGTCTTTGACCCAGTGACCGGGTCCCAGACCGACGTCAGGCACCACGGGCCTAGCTCGGCTACTACTTTGTCGGACACGGGTGGCCGTTACGACAGTCCAACACCTTGATCACGCGACTCTTTCGACAGGCCTACTCGGTTTTCAGTGTGTTTTGGATGCTGGCGAAATTCCTCTATCTGGCCGTCTTGAAACTCGAACTGGGGAGTTCAACGTGCATGCGAACCGGTAGGTGATTAGCACACTAGGCGGAAGAAACCTGGGTGGTGGGGGTCGTTGCGGGCACACAGTCCGGCACCCGCCATCAGTCGTGAGAGGTCCAAAGAAAAAAAAGTGAAAATATAATAATATAATATAATAAAAAGGTTCGGGGCAGTTCGGACTCTCCTTGATTTATTTGAGTCCTTTTGCAGGGGCTATGCTAATCTTCTCTGTATAGATTCAATTTTTAGCAGATGTTTCAAAGGACAGGGGTCAGGGAACGACCCCTGAGGTATCATCAATGGAGCCAGTCGGTCGCAGGTGAATCAATATTGTAATATTTCACTTATTTGCATCCAGCGGAGTTCGAGCTCAGGGTCTGTATTTCAACAGTTAAGGGGTGGACCACTGAGCTAGGCCCATTGGTGTTGGTCCCACAGGCCTATTTTTCATAGTCCGCGGGTGTACCAGTATGAGCTAGGTCCTAAGGTGCTGGTCCCATAGGCCTGTTTCACACAGTCCGCGGGTGTATCAGTCTGAGTTAGGTTCGCAGGGGCTGGTCCCACATGCCTATTTTTCAACAGTTTGTGGGTGTGCCACCTAAGCTAGACCTGTAGGTGCTGGTCCCACATGCCTGTCCAACAGTTCATGGGGGTACCACCGAGCTAGGTCTGCCGGCAGCAGTTCCCACATACCTATTTTCAACGGTTCGCGGGTGTACCAATTGAGTTGGGTCCGCAGCTGCTGGTCCCACAAGCCTGCTCACACCCAACCCTCTCACCTTTCACAACAGGCTGAGGTTAACGGGTGGTGTATCCCGTGGCCATGGATGCCCAGGCTTCCACCACGCCGCGGGTCCTGGTACAGATCTTGGCGATAGTAGCAAATATTCAAATGAGGACTTTCAGGCCAAAGTGACCTGCTCTTGGGACAGCTTGGGCCGCGCAGCCAGGACTGCGGCAACCCTGGCCCCGCCCAGGCATAGTTCAC